TTAGATACACCTGACATAAATACACTTAAAGGGTATAATATTTGTGAACAAAAAAAATATTTAGAAAATTAACTATAAATACCAAAAATTAAAAAATAATTAAAAAAATAATAAAAGAATTTAGTATATTTTTTGTATTCTCATGTATTTATTAATTTTTTTACAAATATTTTACTTTTTAGACATATCAAAGTAGGTTTCATCTAAAAAAGTTTACAAAAAAAAAAATGCTTAAAATTTTAAAAATATTCATTAAAAATAAAAAAAATACTAAAAACAAAAAATTCAATTTTTAGAAAATTAAAATCAAACACACCAAATAGTGTAAGAAGTTGAGGGAGGGATATCCTTTTAAGTTCTGTTCTATAATTACCGGTTTTTAAATTTACAAGAAGTGGCACTAAATTCGTCCTATAAATATATATATATATATATACATACACACACAAAAATACTAAGGATCATGAAATAAAATTATAGTCAAAATGAGTTAGTAGATCATATAGATTTAAAGTTATTGGGATGTGGGCAACAATTAAAATGATTTTGATATCATAGAAGTACTTTTCTAATTACCCTTTTTTAAATATGTAGCATGGTTGATATATATATATGATGGGAAATTTTATGGTACACATCTCATTTTGGGGTGGGTATCATATGTAGCTTTGTTTATGATTTTTGTTTATGACATTATTATGATAATAATCTAAGAATTATTTAGTTATTGTAATAATTGATTTTGGGAAAAAATGATTTTTTTCTAAAATTTTGGTTGATTTTTTAAGTGGGACCCATACACTAAAGTTGGTGGGTCTATGTGGCAACGTGTTCTTTGTTGCATAACGATTTATGTCGTATATTTAGTTACACAAAACTATTATCGGGTGAATGGAAAATCAATGTCAAAATAAGCTTCATGAAAATGATGTTTTGGTGAGGTTTCCATAAAGGATAGAGAAAAGGCTTGTCCCACATAACTTGAGTGGGCAAACTTAGTGTGGGTTTATAAGCCTTGAATTTGCATTTTAGGAAATGCCCCAAGGGATACCCAAGTTTTATGGAGAGGGAGGTTATGGGAAAAGTGGGCCTTGACCCATCAGACCCAAAAACTATCACATGCATACCGCCTATTACCTGCTAGCTCGGGTGTAAGGTTGGGTTGGGCTTGTGTAGTCTAATACTTAACTTTTTTAGGCCAAAGACATTTAAATTTTATTTTTCTAACCATTTGGAATTTGAATTTTAGTTTGAAATTCAAAATAAATTCCGAAATGACCCCAACGTTCACACGTTTCTGAACGTTGGTAGTTTCGTTCAATGCACTTTTCCCTTCAACCCAAACAGGTTCTTTACTAGTTCAAATCCAACCCGAACAACTTCTTTACCTGTTCACCTCTGTCCTGAATAACCACCAAATCTCCTATAAATAGACAAGTACTCTATTTGGTTTTTCATTCAATTTTCGTTCTTCATTCTGCTTTTGCTTCCTGCATTTTGCTGCATAAATTTTATGTAAGAAAGAATATAAATACAAAGTGTGTTCGCTAGATATTTAGTTTGTAGTGCTGCAACTAATTGTCGTCAATTATTTTATCCTAAGAGATAGATGCCCACATTCTGAAAGCACCATAGAGAGGACAAATCTATCTTAAGAAAATAGTGTTGAACATTGGACTTGATTGAATTTCTGAAAACTTGAATTTCCGAGAAAGTAATACTGTAAGTAAGTTGTTTATTTATTTATTTATTTATTTTTCTCGAGATTCTGTTTTGTTTTTATAACAAAAGTAAGGATTTGTTTTGTTTTTATAACAAAAGTAAGGATCTTTTTGTTTATTTTATTGTTTATATTCTATTCCTATTTTAGTAATCAAACAGCATCTCTCATTTCTTAATTTATTCTTCGAATACAGCGAAGATTGGCTTACAGTTATATCTTAAACGGTGTTTAGTTATAACTCTTTTTTTTGCTTGGGGGATTTAAGTGTAGGTATTAATAGGTAGACTTACTATTCAATATGTCCTATGAGAATTAATTGCATTTCTCATCAAGTATTATTAAAAAAATGTCAATAATTATTAATTTTTAGTGGCAGTTTAAAAATTTGTTACAAAAAAGTCACTAATTATAAGTTTCAGCGACAGTTTAAAAAATTCATCATAGAAAAAAGTCACTAATTGTAACTTTTAGTGGCATTTATAAAACCTGTGACAAAAAAAAAGTCACTAATTATCAATTTTTAGCGACATGCAAAAAAATTGTCACAAAAAAAAAAATTTTTAGCAACAAATTTACAAGGACTTATGTTCAATAGGACTCGATAGGAATTAAGTCCAACTATTAGTACCTATTGACACTTTACCCCATTTTTAATTTAAATTAGGACTTATGACAATGGTAGTAATCAAATCCATAAATGTCATAACTTACGTATAGTAATACTACTGCAAACTTAACCAACCAGACTAGTATAGTATAGGCCCCTCAATGTTGTCAAGCTTCCTAGGCCATGTTTGATTACCAAGATTAATAGTGAAAGGATTAACAACCCATGAGATTAGTGTAGGATTAGTTATCCAACTAGATTAGTGATATTAATAATTTACTCTTATCCAAGATTATTTTGCTGTGACTATGAAAATATATAATCTCAATTATAAGTTTGCCTTGAATTATTAGTTATAGCATTAAAAAATTTGTCAAGGTTGTTGGATAAAATGTCTATTAAAATCTAATTCAGATAACAAAAATTACAACTAAACAATAGACTTGAGTGCAATGGATTAATAATCTCAATCCTATACTATAATCTGGTCAATCAAACATACCCTAATTACTTAGGAACCTTGCTTCTCATTTGCTTATATGCCAACTGATGGATCTTTTTTCATTGCCAACTTGCTAATATAATACTATATTGTTTTGCAATACAATATGGTAAAAACATAAATAAATAAATAAAATTCATGTGTTGCCAAGAGAATGAAGGCCTGCAGAGTTTTGGATACATAAACAAAAACATAAGACCAAAGCAAAATTGTATACTGGGACAACAAAAAGAGGTCAATGAACCGACCAGAAGCAGTTATTTGGAAAATTATGATGAAGGCCTGCAGAGTTTTGGATACATATACAAAAACATAAGAGCAAAGCAAAAATGTATACTGGAACAACAAAAGAGGTCAATGAATCGATTGTGGAAATCAAGCAGTTATTTGGAAAATTATAAAATGCTCCTGTTCACTTCCTGCCTCAATTTAGTGTACAAGTGTCTAATAATGAAGGGTGTTAGAGTATTCCCTTCGATCCAGATTATAAATTAGATGGCATTGTTTGAGTCCGTGATGGATCTATTTCAATAGATTAATGATAGTGTGTTTTATCATGTTTCTACCAAGACTTTGACACATGATTTATGAAAAAACATTAGAAAGTCTTTGTGGTATAAAATTATCCACAAACAAAACTTTTCTGTTTAGAAAGTTAATTAATTTAAAATACAAAGAGGGTAGTTACATTCCGGAGCATTTGATTGAAATGAAGAGTATTATTAACTAACTTGATTCTATGAAAATCATTTCTGATGATAACTTGTAAGCTTTGATCCTACTTAGTCTGTCGCCCTAAAGTTAGGAAACTTTGATTGTGAGTAAGTAGTACCTCACAACAAATGTCAAGTTAGTAGTATCGTGTTGAATGAAGAGACAACAAAAAAACATCAGAAATGATTAATTTTACTCCACGGAGTTGTGAAAATGAGTCAAGTCAGTAGTACCTTATTGAATGAAGAGACAACAAAAAAAAATCTATGAGTTCTTGTCATTTAGAGACATTTGTTGTGAGAGGCTAGAGTAAAACAAAAGCAAGGAGTAAAATTCCTCATAACCGCGATCAAAGTCGTGACAAATCAAGATATAGTTAATTTTCAAAGAAAGATATCAAGTGTCATTATTGCCATAAGAAATGGCACATGAAACCAGAATTGTGATGTCCCAAGTCTTTCAGGCGTGAAGATGGAACAGGGGAGTGTAGGAATGCATTGGGGAAATTTTTGACTATCCAAACTTTTCCGCACGTGCGGTTTGGTACATGCCCAATTTGGTATTCTTGGGTTAGAGCCGCACGTTTAGGGACTAAAAGAGTAATTTCTTGATTGAATTTCTACATGTATCCCTCATTTGAATGGCATCTATAACGGGAATTAGGTTGTGGAATTAAATTGAAATACTTAATACTTACATTTTTAATTTTTTATTTATATTTATAAAAAATTTAAAAACTCAAATAAAAATTTGTTTAGTAGAATTTTTGATTTACAAATCAGTGGTCTCAGTTTATAAATTTGGCCAAAAAATAAAAACATAAAAAATGTGTTTCCATTTTGAGTTTTCAGTTTTTTTTTTTTTATACCCAACACTAGCCACCACCCACCACCATTTTCCACCACCGTCTTCCGCCACCACCACCCACCCCCCACCACCACCTGCACCACCACACCTCCACCACTCACCCGCCACCACCACCCACCACCCACCACCACAACCACCTGCCATCCACTCGCCACCACTACCCACCCCTGCGCCGCCCGCCACCGCCACCAAATATGGCAGTACTGGGTAAGGAAGCCACAACTGCATTGGTCTGTAGAATCACAGCAGCAAAGGTTGACATTCCAGAGGCTTGTTTCATTGGTTGTCTGCACTTCTGGAATTTTATTCTAATTTGTCACATATAATCATATGGTTTTGTATTTACTTTTAAGTTTATTCTTCTGAAGGTTGAAGGGAAAAATCATATCATGAAAGAATAGCTACCTTCTTGGTGAGGTTGAAGCTGAGGTGAGTCTGTCTACATTCTCTTTTTTCCAGAAAAAAATATTTGTACATTAAAACAATTAATGTTTGTGGGATGACCTGGAATTGTGGTGAGATGGTCTCAGAGAAACAACGAAAAGAGTCTGCTCCTCCTGTTAATTCCATCCACCTACAGCTTAGATAAAACAAAGTACTTCTTGGCTGAGGTATTTTCTAAATTTCATGAATTTCTGGCCATTTAAACGATATGTTTCCATTCCCAACTAGCTTCAGGAGGATTTTATTTATGGTAGAATTACTGGAAAGTCCCTTTCAGGAACTTGTTTACTTGTGATCGATAAGTCCTAATATTTGAAATTTATTCTAGGAGATATATATTTATTTTTTGTTGAATTACATTGTAACATGCTTCATTGCTGAATTTTTTGAAAACTAACTCGAGCAAGATCATCATACAAGATCTCAATTGAATATAAAATTATGTAAATGTAAAAAGTAAAAATTTCACTTTTTTTTTTTTTTTTTTGAATTTGAATTGAAAGTGCCAATTTTTCTACAATATAATGTGTGAATTTTAAGTGTGAAAATTATAATATGATAAATATTCGTATTTTCAATTAATAAAATATTATGAAATTTTTTGAAAAGTGTAAAAATTAGTTTGAATATGCGTACTTTTTAAAAAAATTTCACTTTCTAAAAATTAATATTATTCTAATTTATTGAAAATGTGAAATTTTGTAATAAAAAATCGTACATTATTTTTTATTCATATAAAGTATGAACATTTATATTATATAAAATATATAATATAAGCAAAAACATTGTTGTTCCATTGAGTCTTAAAGTTCTAACTCTGTTTTCATAAATTTTTGAATTAAAAAATTATGAAATAATAAAACAACATGTCAATAAACTATTGGTCATTGATCAATGATGTAATAATTTTTAACATGTAATGTAACTTAACTCTTATGAACATACATAGAAATCAAATCAAACTTTTTATTGTTTCAAAATATATCAAAATCATATCATTTATTGATCAATAAGGTAATATATTCCTTAAAATTTGCTTTTTAAAAATATTTATTAAAAAATTTATAATATGAAAATACACATGTTATAAAATGATAAAATTTAATAAAATATATATTATAATATTATGAGCTCTTTTGTTATATTAATAGTTCTTTCTTATTTATTATTATCTTATTTTCATTTAATTTAAATATTTTGTTAATTTCATCCATATGGTAAGTTTTTTAGTTCTCTCTTAATTAAATCATCAATTCTCTACATGAGCAATAAGCTGCTGGAATTTCTATATAGAAAGCATACATGTTTTGAAATTATCACTTTAGTTATTTATCGATAAATTAAACTATAATTCATTATTGTGAGTGATAATTTTTCCAAAATCTATTATTATCTTATATTATTAACGCCAAAATAACTTTTTGTCCAAAATGTTTTAAAGCTTCAAAATATTAATTCCAATTTATAAATATAATAAATACATCTATGAAGCACGGACACCTCTCCGAGGGCTCGTACAAGTGTCGGACACGGACACGCGTCGCGACACGCGGTGGAACACGTTCCGACTGTAGACAACCCCATTTTTGACGTTCTCAAGACTTGAGTCACCGCTTGAAACACTTGGTGATCATCATGTTGTGTTCGTCTTGAGTTCCGGAGAGTCTCGGTGCTACGCGCCTTGCCTCAGGATCTCTCGACTCAACTGTTTTTGTTCTGGTTTTGCCACCAAACACTTGTGCTTTGCCTTGGAGGGGCAGGGAATGGCTTGTGAGCCATCCCCACACTCCACCGCCATGGCTTGAGGCCACCGCCAAATTTGCCGGCCGGCACTATAGATGGCCGGCCGGCTATCTTTTTTTGGTCAATTGCATTTTTGGTCGGCCGACTACTGTGCATCTGCTTTTGCAGATATTTTTGTGCAGCTGGCATACACTTCACCCCCTCCATACAGCTGTATGGAGGGATTGCCCTCTTGTTAGCTTCCTTTGAAAGCTTTACAAGGCCATTGGTCTTTGAAAGAGAGCCTCCTCTCTCTTGTTTAGAGGTTAGATAATTTAGAACACAATTTTACAGAGGCGTTTTGTGAGTTTATAGGTTAGTGGTTCCTAAATATATCCAATCATCTCCCTATATCTCTCCTCTCTTCTCTCTGTGTTTTTGTGTGTGTTTTGTCTTAGTTTTGCACACAAACACCCACTATCACACCTTTTCTTGGAGCTGAGGCCCTTGAGGGTTGTTTTTGGAGTTGTGGAGCTGGTTTGAGCTTGAAGAACCAGCTTGTTCACCATTGGTGAAGAGGGTCTACAAGGGTAAGAAACTTGTCCCTTTATTCCCTATTTTTGCATTACATTTTTGCCTACCTTGAACCTGTTTTTGAGCTTTGTGTATAACATATAAAAGTTTTGGTTTTTAGTGCTCTAAATAGTTGGTTAAGGTTGCTTTAAGCTTTGGGGTTGTTTGACCCCTCTTAAGGCTTGTTTGGCCTTTGTTTTGTGCCATTTTGGTTGAGCTCCGGGACCATTGTGTTTGGGCCTCCTCACCACTGAAATATTGAGAGATTTCAGTGATGAGGATGGTGCCTTGAGGTCCTAGAAAGGAGAGGGCCACCCCCTCTCCTTGTTGTCCTTGAAAATGGCCATTTTTGCCTCTTTAGAGAGCATATTGTTTAGGTTCATGTTGGCCATGCCTTAACTGATTTTTATGCTTATTATGTCATAATATAGCTCTGTTTTCAATTGGTTTTGGTACACCATGCTTGCTTAGCATACATGCCTTGTAATGCCATATTGTAGCCTTAACATGCATATAGGTTTTAACCCTTGTTCAAGTATGCTTTTGGCCTAGCTTTATGAAGCTTTCGTACTTGTTTTGCCATGTTTAAGGTATGTTTTTAGTTGTTTTGGTCAACCATAACATGTATTGCATAGCTCCTTTGCATTGTTAGCTTGTAGGCTTTAAGTATGTGAAGTGTTGAGCATGCATTGTTTGATTTATTTCAGTGGTTTGGCACCACTTATAGCATCATTTCAGTCCTCTTAGCTTGCTTGTATGCTTGCATTTCATGGCCCCTTTGATGCTCCAAGAGGTTGTGTCCTATGCTCCATGTTTGGTCATTGTGTATGCTTCCATGTGTAAGTCATTTAGATGCCATCTAAGTGGTCTTTTGGCTTTGTTTTAGCATACTAAAACTCTGGTTTTGGTCATTTAATTCATGCCATGTGTGGTTGCATTAAGTGTAGTTCAATCCCCCTTGGGCTTGCCTTGAATCTTGGACCATTGTTGCATGCCATGCTTACCTTGTTTACTTGGTTTAGCACCATTCTTAACTTGATTTTCAAAGCTTATGATGCATGCCATTAGCCCATGTTGTTCCTTTTTTAAGTGTGCTTAAAATTTGTCTCTATGTGCCTAAGTGTTGGACCTTACATGCATGCCTATTTGTATGTGTTTTGGCTTCCATTCTTGAGCATGTTAGCCATTATTTTGGGCCTAGTTGAGAGCTGCCTAATTCAGTTTAAATCCACCTTTTGCATGCTATTCAAATGTTGTTGCATTAATCCACGTTTGCATGTTTTGGTTGCATGTGTTGCATGCTTGAAATCACTTGCATTTGGCATACATTCCCTTAGTCAAGTTGCTAGCATGTTTGCATGTCTTGCACACTTGCATGATTATATCACATCTCGCATGCTTCATTAGCTTGCATAGTTGTGATATGCTTGTTTGCTTAGGTTGTGTACCTAGTGTACATTGCATGTTTGCTTGCTCCCCTCCATACCATATAGCATACTAGTTTGCATGCTTAGGTTGCATTCCATCTAACATGCATGCCTTGTCCCTTGATCTAGTGATAGGGATTGGGCCTTGGTTTGTTTATGTGCATTGCATTTCATTTGAAATCGAAATGCACACTTGATTCTTTGGGCCACCATGCATGGAAATGCGCGATTGGTGGTCTGAGAATCGAGGCCCATCCTCCTTTGAGTCCCTTGCATGATAGGGAGTGTGGTTGGTGCATACATTGCCTGAAACGCATTGTCATGCCTGGCCTGCCCTCTGCTGCTGTCAAACAGGTTTCTGCAGGAAGATTGGTCGGGCCCGGCAGTGTGGTGATCGACCGGAAAACATGTTTGGCTAAGAGCATAAGTTTGGTGGTTGGTGGACCATTCTATCATGGCCGGTGTGTTCCCACTCAAGCCAGTGGTGTTCCACAACAACTCAAGAGAAGCACTGTGGATTGTGCAATTTTTAGAGGAAGCGGACAGTCAAAGCAGAGACAAGCTTGTGCATGGCAGTGACTTTTCGAGGCGGAAGCCGAGCGGCATTGCTATTGGGCCCCTCTCGCCGAGGTGTTTACTGTTCATTAGATTAGATTTAACTTGTTAATTAATTTAATTGGTCTGTAATATTTAAATTAGCTTGTCAGTAATTACTTGTATTATCTCTTTCGGGTCCTCGCGAGCGTAAGGGCAAATCTTATAATAAGTGTGGTGTGTGTGTATGCATGTCTTCAACCACCACTTCTTTCTCCCTTTTACTTACCTGCTTTTCATGTGTAGTATTGATGGACATGTTTATTTTAGCATACCTATGCTATGCATGCGTGCATCCATTCATAGTCTTGCATGCACCAAGCTCGGTACATCCATACTAACTGCATAAGTATTTTCGAATCTAACTTGAATACATGCTACTTGTGATTTTCAACATGTCATTTTATAGACTAGCCGAGCCTATTCTAGTGACATTCTGTATGCGTTGCATTAGCCACTTAACAATAGACTTGGATCATGCATTGATTGCTAACATGTTTTGTTTTGGCTCGGAGTACAAGGTATGTCCATTTATGCTTTAAGCATACCGCATGCGTGTAATGTTGCCATATAATAGCATGATTACCATGAGGCTAATGCTTATGTTATAAAACTGCTTGAAGGCCTGTGGGTAATGTTGGGTTGTTTTGAGTTGGAACAACTCGTTGAAAATCCGTGCTTTAGCCTACTTTGCGAGTAGCAAATTTCAAACTGTTTTTCAAACAAACGGATGTGCAAATGCTTTCGTTTCCAATTCAGGCGATTTGGTCTATACTTTTTTTGCTGTGCGCATAACATAGTAATCTAGGCTAATAACCGGAATAAGAACACATAACGTTTTCAAAAAAACGGATATCACGGTAAATAGAGGCCGATCTTCGATCGGACGAGAGGGGGTGCCTTATAGCTGACCTTCCCAATCGTACCCAAGCTCCCGAGCCGAGCGCAACTTTGTGTATGACGAACACGTGGCCTTTGGCACGAGTCAGGGTTCTAAATTTCCAAAAATAAAATATTTAGGTGGCGACTCTGTATCTGGCAAAGCAATCCATGTTTGGCACTTCTTTTCAAAAATCTGTTTCTCAAAACGATTTGCCGAATTTGAACTCTTTGGTTCAGATTAAGAACCGTGACAATTTGAGAGTCCGAACTGTAGTGAACCCAAAACGAACAGGACGTGACTCGTCCTCCCGGGGCGTTCGGGGACGTCTACACCGACACGCAGTAGAGAGTGTCCCTTTTTTTTTTAAATGTTTTTACATCTGGACACGTTCCGGACACGTTATAGACACTTTCAAGACACGTTCGGAGGGTAATTTCACAATTTACAAAACTTTTTTGGGGCAATTTGTAAATAAGTAAAACAGAAATATCTTCCCTAATTCGATTAGCACAGAATCTAAGGGAGAACAGAAGAGAAAGGGAGAGAAAGGGAGGACCTGGTTGCTCGTCGGTTGTCTCTGCTTCTCATCGGTCGTCACTCGTGTCTCGTCGTCGATCGTCACTCGTGTCTCGTCGTCGCTCATCGTTAATGTGCACACTGCTCTTCTTCATTCTTCTTCGTCGATCTTCTTCTTCGTTCTTCCTGTTCTCCAATCTTCTCAGTTGCTGTCTCTCTCTCTCTCTCTCTTTCTCTCGCACCCTTTCTCACTCTCTCTGTCTGATTTCTTTTCTTTTATTTTTTTATTTTATATAATGAGTTAATGAGTTATTTTTTTTTTTTATATATACTGATCCCTCTCTCTGTCCTTTTTTTTTTTTCTATTTTCTTTTTTCTCTCAATTGTGCCTCTATTATTTGAGTATATAATATTTTTTTTTGGATTAGTTTTATTAATTTTAATAATGTATGTTTATTAATTTTATTATAGGAACCAATTTTAATAGTGTTATTTTGTATATTTTATTACCTTTTAATGATTTTTTTTTTAATTTTATGACATATAATAAATAAAATTAATTATATATATATTGAACGTATCCTAGCGTGTCGTGTCCTCCATTTTTTGAAAATTTGCGTGTCTGTGTCGTGTCCGTGTCGTGTCGTGTGTCCGTGCTTCATAGAATACGTGTCATATAAAATTATTAACCTATCCAAACATATCTAATTTAAAATTTAAAAACAAAATTAGATGAAAAGTTTATATGTAAGTCAAATCTAATTTAAGTAATAATTGATGGATTTGGGAGTTCAAATTTAAAGTTTAAGAAGAACATGAGAAAAAAAAGTTATTTTTCGTATAAATATTCTATGATATAAATAAAATTTTCATAAGAAAAATATTCTAGAAAGAATCTATACATGGTAATATACCTTTTGTTGATTAAATTTTAGTTATTTAAATTTGGAATCTTTAAAAAGAATGTTCAAAATAAAATTTAAATAATTTATTGTTGACTACATTTGATATCATGCCTTAGATGACACTTCATATATATCATGTGGAGCATATCAAATGATGTAATTAGTGCCATGTAAGATGTCACATTATATAATATCCAAATATGATAATTCTAACATTACTCAATTTAAAAATATATAAAAAATGTAGATTATCCAAATTCAATATTTTATATACAAATATAAGTGAGTTTAGGGGTTTAGCAAAATGGTAGTGACAAGGCATGGGCAATTAACAAAGAGAAGTTAAGATGCCTGGTTGGAGAAAGGTTGGATGATTGAGGTCGTGAAAGTTGCGAGGTGGGTGAGGGAGGAGGACAAGAAAATGGTCCAATGTGAGCTGCCAAAGCTAACGAGTGTGAGAAAATCAAGAAGTTGTACTTGGTAATTAATGTTGATTTCAGGAAGAACAAGAGCATAGGGGTCACTAGTAGTTCATTGTTTGCCATTTTCATTTTGTTATTCCATTTTTTGATTTAAACAAATTTTGCTAGATTGAGTTTCAAAAAAAAAAAAAAAAAAAAGGAAAAAAAATAGAGTTATTATTATATATATTCACACATAGTTTATGATATCATCATATGAATTTAATATATGACAAACTAAAATTATGAAACCTTAGAAAATAATAATGTATTTATATTTTATCATAGGTGTAGTTTTTGTTCCTAAAAATAGAAATAAAAAAAGTGCAATTTTATAATTTAAGATAATTTTTATTTAATTTTTACTAATTACATTATGATTCATCTATTTGTTATTTAGAACTTAAAACATGGCATTAATGGTAGAAAAAAAAAAAAGAAGTGAAACTGTAATAAAAATGGTTAAAATTTAATTAATTCTATTTTCTTTACTGTGTAATTTTGAAATTAATTGTTAATTATTTATTTGAAACTGTGAATAGCACAGGTATTACGCTAGTTACATATGTCGATGTTGTTGGATTCCAAAAAATAATGGAAATCAACACTTAGTTCTTCCAGTTAGGTATGATTTTCAAATGGATTATTTTTTTCTATTTTAACGCCCCAATCATGGTGAATCTCTTATTTAATCCCAACTAATATTTTCAATTTTTCATGTTAGGTTTAAGTAAGAATATTCACGTTTACTCATTACCATCTATATAATTGGTGGCAATTGTGTCATTTTCAATCATATTGGACTAGATGGGTTTCAAGAATTTTAATCGGATTATATGGAACATAAGGCTCCTAAATGGGATTTACTATTTATTTATTTATTTTTTAAAATAAAACTTTTCCATTTGATCTTTTAATTAATTTTTTGAAATGAACTTAGATATGTTTTAAGGTCCTTCTGAGGTTCAAAGGGTAGTTTCTGTTGATATTATTAATTCACATACTATGTATTAACTTCTTGATTTGCGAAGGAGGTCAATGTTATTAACTACTGTTGTAATCCATAATTCCTTAAAATGTCTTCCCAGCATGCCTTAAGGCAAATACTTAATAGAGCATGATTGACTGAAGATTTATGTGCACATTATGCAGGCAATGCATGCTTTTGATGCTGCATCCGAGAAGGAACTGAGTTTGACAGTTGGTGATTATGTTGTTGTACGGAAGGTTCTCTCATATCCTAGAGTCGATCTTTGTTTGTTTGTTTTGTTTTGTTTTGTTTTTGTTTTTAAATTTGCGACTCTTTTCAGCTGCACGGTCTTTTATCACAAAGTAATTTTGTTATGGTTGTGTTTGGATCTTGGATTTGTGAAGATAAATTAGTATCTATTTCATTCACTTTTTTCCCATACCTTGTCTTTTTCCTTCACAAATCCATTTACAAGTCCAAGATCCAAACACAGGTTATGGGTCAAAATTGAAGGAATATAACTTTCCTATTGTTTTACTGTGGAAATTGTTTCCAAACTAAATTTTTAATGAAAATTTGAGGTTTTGGAAAATGAAAATTTATTTATTTAATTCTTTTGTTAGTAGCTTTCATTTCCCCCAGAGTTATTCAAACCAATGCTTGACAATCCTATGGACTATGAGAAATAAACTTCTTGGAAACAAAGTTTTTCTAGTTCTCAGTAACATGTTTTTACTTTTCCTTACGATAATTTAATGCATTCAGGAATAATTCATCATTTGGGTTCTCTTGAAATTTCTCAGACTTTCAAATCATATCTCAAAATCATCTTTTCCGTAGTTTGAAACATATCCTTTATTTGAAATCTAGTGTTCTTTGCATAAGGATATTGAATTGATTTGAATGACTTCATGTGTCTGCGCAGGTGAGCCTATCGGGATGGTCAGAAGGAGAATGCAGAGGTAAAGCAGGCTGGTTTCCATCAGAACATGTGGAGAAACGCCTGAGGATTCCCACCAGTAGTGCATCTGCTGAAGTTTTTTGAGCTGTGTGGGTACTTGATTTCATCTCCTAGATTGGGCATGTGTAGAGTAGATTCTCTATTGGGTAACTGTGCATATTGTGTATATCTGATGTTTGGTTTATTTGTGAGACTCAAAAACTTCTTTTATATATGATTATGCTTATGTATTCATTCAAATTTGCCTCGGACTTGTATTGTCTCAATTGCTAAAATATTGTTTCTTTGTTGCTTGAGTATTAAATTGATTTAGTGAATAAAACCAAATAATCTGTCCAGTATATGGAAAACGATTGCAAAAAAGTACACATGCTAGCATGAAATAGTTGACCCCTTATAGAGGATTCTGGTTGTTTCCTGTGAAGTATTGTTTTGTCTAGTTTGTTTTAAACGCCAAACATGACAAGGCTACCTTCCCTTCAACAAATGAGGTATGCCCCCCCTCCCAGCTCTTTCGCCCAAGGATTCTGTGTCCCCAAAATCTCAGTCCTCAAATTTTAATGCATTGATAACCAATTACAATTTGGTAAGAATTTCAAAGCATGAGAATCTTGAGTCATGATTTTGCGGTTGGGAGTGTATTAGTAGGATAGAGGTCAGTGAGTTTGGAACAAAAGATCTTGTGTTCACTTTTTCACACACGAGTAATTTATTATTCAGTGCCATCTGTGACACTGATGTGGCCATGTGTCATAGGCAGACTCTTTTGAGTATGCAGCGGAATCAATTTTGGCCAATGAGGTGCTTCAATTCTACCAAGTTCAAAGTCTCCTCATGACCGTAAGTGTTGAATCTTCACCCATCTTGCCAAATGTAGGCCCAATGCTTTATCAAGCAAGAACAACTCCCATAGAGAAAGGTTTGCCTTCTGAATGCCACAAGTAGACTTTACGTCCACAGTGTACCAAGCACGACTCATGTCGCTTTATGATGCCAAGCTCACCTAAGAGCAAGACGCTTGCTCAACTGAGGCATCCCATGTTAGTGTAGCCCACAACTAAGCCAACTTGATGTTGCCTAACTGTGCACTAACGTAGAACTCTCAACCTAGCTAACAAGCTTCCCCTCTCATGTATATAGGGTCTCTTATTATGCCTGTCTCGAATATCCGATGATGATTGGAGGGTCACTGGCGCATCTACAACTTAATCCTCATGCTTACATTGGCATGCTAAACAATCCACTAAGGGTCATTGCGCACCCGAGGCGTTGCACTAGCGTATTGCACGAGCATGGCAATAATAATCTATATCCCACAATTAGCATTTCACCTTTTCGCAAGCTCTATGTGCCTTGCATGATGACAATGCTTTGTGTCATTCAAATGTTTGACCCTCTTTTCAAGAAAAAAAGAAGCGAGAATTCACCCTACCTAGTCAGGTCAGCAAGTGTTGCCACCAAACCACTAGCTAGGCCACAAGTGTTACACAATTTAGGATAGAACTCACCCCAAAAGCTATAGCTTAAGAGGTGAGGGTGCCCTCACACTTATATGTTTAATATTATTTTAGTACTTGGGTGACGTGGGACTTCACTTCACACCCTTCCTCACGCCCAACTTGCTCACTTGACAACACCTGTGGCGTATAAGCCAGGGTCACACACCTTACCCATCCCTAAGTACTTCAGCTCTGATACCATGTTACACGGTCTTGGGTAGAACTCAACCTCAAAAACTAGCTCAAGAGGTGAGAGTGCCCTCACGCTTATATGCTTAATATTATTTTAGTACTTTGGCGATGTGGGACTTCGCTTCACAACAAGGCCCCCACATTCACGGCTGAACCGAAGCACATGTTCATGAGTTGGCACAAGAGGCCTTTTGGTGGTGCTTCGATATCCCATTCCATTCGATCTAGGTCGACACAACAATGTGCTGCAATACATGATATAGTAGGTTCATATCCCAAACCTCATGCCGAGATTAGATGTGCAGTGTCTACACTAATGTCTCTCGTGACAGTGTATATGGGGCTCCCAAACCTACATGGAGACTGTACGGGGAGCAAATATTCAGGCAAGCCCGTACTCCTTTCTTCCAAGCTCCTGTCTATCCGATCGACCAGCGAGCACAACGGCGGTGAGCTACCCGGCGGTGTGTGGCCGGAAAATCCCTCCGACGGTTAGCACACACTCAGGGATATAGAGAGAGTTGAGCGTTCAAGTGTTTTTTACAAAATTATCCCTCCCCAACATGGGGGGCGTAGTCAAACTTATATACTCTCTGCACTCCACATCTGCTCCCATTAGTCTCTTGACACGTGGTGCTGCTTTCCCATCCGTCAGCACAAATCCAGCGAACACCACCTAACCAACCGCCAGACAACATTAGCAGGAACTCGGCAGCCCGGCGGCATCACCCGGCCTCCTTCGACCGAGCTACTTATCGAGCCTAACAATGTCACTCGCTGAGCTCCATCACAACCGAGCTCCGTAGCACCCCAGTATGGCCGAGCTCCAGATAGGTTAGGCCGGTCCAAGGGAGACCTTCCCGCCGTGCTACATGCGCGACCATAAGACCCAGATCGGCAGACAATCATCTCAGCCTGCTTCGACCGAGCTACTTATCGAGCTCAACAGTGCCACTCACCGAGCTCCATCACAACCGAGCTTAGTAGCACTCCGGTGCGACTGTGCTCCAGACAAGTTAGGCCGGTCTATGGCAAATCACGATCACTGAGCTAAAAAGAGCGAACAAGAGAAGACAAGATGGTAGAGGATCTTCTCGGCCAACTCTGGTTTGGACTTCGGCCGAGCAAGCTTCACCTCGGCTCGGCCCAACCCAGCTCGGCCCAAATACGCTTGGACCACACTCAGCCCGGCCAGAACTGCGGCCCAAGCCGAGATTACGAAAATCCCCCTCTCAATTGCCCTTTAATTTCGTCTGCGCTAGCGTGACTGGGATTACATTACAAGGCCGAGCTATACTTTTTGCTCGGTGATCCACTTTGCTCGGTTTAGGAACTCCAAGGCGAGCAAGGTCCGATCCGCGACTTGCTTCTTGGCGAGCAAGATCAGCTCGGCAAAGAACTCAAAAAAAAAAAGAGCAAGGTCTGCTCCGCAACTTTCTTCTTGGCGAGCAAGATCAGCTCGGCAAGGAACCCCAAGGTCGGCGAGCAAGGTCCGCTCGACAACTTCCTTCTTGGCGAGCAAGATCAGCCCGGCAAGGAGCTCCAAGGTAGGCGAGCAAGGTCCGCTCCGCGACTTGTCACTTGGCGAGCAAGATCAGCTCGGCAAGGAACTCCAAAGAAGGCCAGCAAGGTCCGCTCCGCAACTTCCTTCTTGGCGAGCAACATCAGCTCGGCAAGGAACTCTAAAGAAGGCGAGCAAGGTCCGCTCCGCAACTTCCTTCTTGGCGAGCAAGATCAGCTCGGCAAAGAAATCCAAAGAAGGCGAGCAAGGTCCGCTCTGCCACTTCCTTCTTGGCGAGCAAGGTCATCTCGGCAAGGAACTCCAAAGAACGCGAGCAAGGTCCGCTCCGCAACTTGCTTCTTGGCGAGCAAGATCATCTCGGCAAGGTACTCCAAGGTCGGCGAGCAAGGTCTGCTCGGCGACTTGCTTCTTGGCGAGCAAGATCAGCTTGGCAAGGAACTCCAAATAAGACGAGCAAGGTCTGCTCCGTCACTTCCTTCTTGGTGAGCAACATCAGCTCGGCAAGGAACTCCAAAGAAGGCGAGCAAGGTCCACTCCGCAACTTCCTTCTTGGCGAGCAAGATCAGCTCGACAAAGAAATCCAAGGTCGGCGAGCAAGGTCCGCTCGGCCACTTGCTTCTCGGCAAGCAAGACCAGCTCAGCAAGGAACTCCAAGGCCGGCGAGCAAAGTCCACTCGGCGACTTGCTTCTTGGCGAGCAAGATCAGCTCGGCAAGGAACTCCAAGGTCGGCGAGCAAGGTCCGCTCGGCGACTTGCTTCTTGGCGAGCAAGATCAGCTCGGCAAGGAACTCCAAAGAATCCAAGCAAGGTCCGCTTCGTAACTTCCTTCTTGGCAAGCAAGATCAGCTCGGCAAGGAACTCCAAGGCCGGCAAGCAAGGTCCGCTCAGCAAGGAACTCCAAAGAAGGCGAGTAAGGTCCGCTCCGCAACTTCCTTCTTGGCGAGCAAGATCAGCTCGGCAAGGAACTCCAAGGTCGGCAAGCAAGGTCCGCTCGGCGACTTGCTTCTTTGCGAGCAAGATCAGCTCGGCAAGGAACTCCAAGGTCGGCGAGCAAGGTTCGCTCGGCGACTTGTTTCTAGGCGAGCAAGATCAGCTCGGCAAGGAACTCCAAAGAAGGCGAGCAAGGTCCGCTCCGCAACTTCCTTCTTAGCGAACAAGATCAGCTCGGCAAGGAATTCTAAAGTTGATTAAAACCATCAACAAACCTTTAGCCGAGTAAAATTCATCCGACAAGAAATTCTAGAGTTGATAAAATCATCAACAAACCTCTTGCCGAGCAAAATCCAACCGGTAAGGAATTCCAAAGTTGATCAAAACCATCAACAAACCTCTTGCCGAGCAAAATCCGACTGGCAAGGAATTCCAAAGTTAATCAAAACCATCAATAAATCTCTTGCCGAGCAAAATCCGCCTTGCAAGGAATTTTGATCTTTTCGTCAAAATGATTGTTAGTTGCCCTTTGGATCACACTAAATCCGCTTAGTGAGGCAAAAATACAACAATTCTCAAGAAAATGGTCTGCTTGTTTCATTGTGCCAATGGCAAAAAGTGTTACAAAAATAGAACTAAGAACAAAACTTTAGATTGGCAGAGTTCGATGTTCTGAAAATGGATCGGCCATTCACATTCTGCAAGTTTTATGCCCTTTTTCCTCGGCCTTCTTATAGACGTTTTCCAAAAAACGAACTCCCTATATCTCTTCCAGGGTGGTTTGCATGGCCATCATCTTGTTCGATTGCGTGAACCTTTCGCACTACTCTCTTATTCTCTACTACCGGACTTGCAGTCACGGTAGCTGCGATTGCATCGTCTTCGACTCAGATGTGCTCATTGATGCGCTGCATTAGTTGGCTCATAGATGTCGGCTGGTTCATGGTAAGCGAGTCCTGC